GAGACATTTTTGAAAAAAGCGTCAGATTCATATGACGATATCTTTGATTCTAGTTGCCTGATAGTGAATCTAATAATATCTGCAGAAATGGGAAGATCTTGCTGAACCGAAAGTCACAGACGTTAGTTGAAAGGGATTTCCGTTATTGTTAGTGACTTCAAATCCCCCCCGCAGTCGGTCGCAAGTACGAAACTTATCAGGTTATAAAGGTCCAACTGGGAGCACAGGAGGGTTCATGCAATAGTGGACTTCAAATTTTCTCTGAAACACTACGAAAATTATAATATTGAAAGGCAAAAGCCCTCTCCATACTTATATTATGCATATTTGAGATTTCCTACAGTGCTGATATTACCTTATGCGAGCGCTGTAAAACCTCTACTAAAACAAAACTTCATTTGCCACACAAAAGTTTGTGTTCGAATTCCTGTTGGGGTCTAAATTATTTTTCCTCGTCCTTCATGGAATGTTTCCTCTGGCAGGGGGATCAAGTCCACCACCTTCGAAGTGAGCCGTTCATTTCAATAACAATTAAAGTAAAATGGTAAAAAAGATTCTCTCCTTTACAATGAAGTGAACACATTTGACATTTACTCTATGTTATGTTTGTAGGCCTACTCATCCCCAGATTTGTCCCCGATAAAGACTTTGAAGGCACAGATCGTAACCGGGGCGTGAGGGTTCAGTCCAGTTTACGCGAGATGTAGAGGAGGATCCTTTCAACTTGGACAGATTTATCACGGAGGCTAAGAAGGGCCAAAAGAGGTCAGCGGATGAGTCTGGCTCCTCCCGGGACTACGACGGCAGCAGCAGTAAAGGAAATGGAAGCAAGAAACGAAGAGACCAATGACCATTCACGATTTGGACGTTGTTGTATCACTTTCGTATTTCAATATCTGTCCCTAAGAATTGCGAACTGTGACGGCTGTTTTGAGAGGAATCTGGATAGCGTATATATCCAGGGATTATTTACATGTTGCGAGAAGTTTAATTGCCACTAAAATTGGGGTGAGTTGGATACATTTGGGGGGAAGAGATGAATTTCAGTTGCAAAAAGTTACTGCAGTAGATTTTGTTTTAGCAAGTTTCAACTGATATGAAAATGGATGTACCAGTACTGCAAAGGATTTTTCTGTCCTGAATTTTCATGGCAGTTTGAAACCTCTCATTCAGTGACGTGAGCCTCAGTTGGAAGGACTGCTAGCCACACGCAGGCATTGGGTGTTCGTTGTGCTGGGGGAGTGAGACAGGTGTTATTGATTTGACCTATCTGGTGGACGTTTAGACACCTTTTACTGCTTACACCCAGATATGAGACCGGTGTGTGTGTGGTGCAGCGGTAAGACGCTTCGCCATCACTTGTAGAAGACAAAAGTTCTTCATCTCGTTCTGTCTTCTGAGATGTTGTATCCCTCTCAGCCCGGATTGGCACTGGCAGTCGGGGTCAATTAATCTTACCTCCCATATGTTCAAAATAGTGTTGGAGTGGGCGTAAAACACATACAATTGCAAGGTTTATTTTACAGATAAGCAAGATGGAGAAATGGGTGTCTGTTTGTCACAGGCATTTTGATGGATGTTTGTATATTGTCTATTCTTTGTGAGATGCCAGTAAAAGTGGGGAAATAATATTGTTTGCAAGGGATTAGTTGTCAGAATAGGGAAACTCATTTTTAGATTTTAAAAATATTTAGTATGTTTTGCTTGCAATTGTTGATGAGGATGTGTTAAGGAGCAATGTTACAAAAACGTATAATAATAAAAAATGAAAATGAATACACGGACGCTGCAAATGTTATTTACAAATTGGTGTGACAACCACTTCCTTTCTCTTATTGTAAAAAAGACAAATTTATTAATAATAGACTTTAAAGTTTTAAAAGACCAATTGCAACCACTGTTGATTAAAGATGAGGAAGTAGAGGTTGTAAATCTTTACAAATATCTGGGAATAGCCGTCGATGACCAGCTTGACTGGCATCCCCACGCTGCTCTTTTGCATATAAAAATAAAGCAAAAAATGTTCCTTCAGGAGATTAAGAAGTTTTCAAGTAGATGATTAGATCATGTCCCTTTTTTAGCATTCTTCTATGGTCAAAAGCGTGTTACTATTTTGTATTTGTTGCTGGGCTGGAAACTGTAGGGTGAAACAGAACCACTAAAAAAGCCAGCAAGATCTCTGTATACATATGATTTTACTAAAATTGATGAATAAAAATGATCAGTAGCATTATAATTATAAACGGCCTATCACACCCCCTTTCCACATGAATTGTAACATCACACAGCGGCAGATATGTACCACTAAGAACAAAGAAAGAAAGATACAAAAGAAGTTTTTATTTACCATCTAGTGTAAGTATAAGGCTACTTTCAGAATAATATTCTATGTGTATTGTTGTTTCGAATATGCTATATGTTATATGTATTCACTCTAAAGGTCTTGTGATAACTTCTTACATGTGGTTGAATGATGCATCTGATGTGATATGTACATTATTGTCAGCATTATTTTTCTTCTCATATTACATTTTAATGAGAGTAATAACATGTATATATAATTAAATTTCTTTCTATGTATACCTTCATGTGTTTTTACAGTCCTGTACAGTCAAGAAAAATTTCCCCCTGGGACAATAAAGTTACATTGTCTTATCTATTTTGGCCAAATTTTAGCGGATGTCATTTGTGAACGGTCCCTAATATCAAGTGCAAAGCAGTTCCATCACGTCTCTATTTGATGCGGTTTAACTTGCGAACCTTTTAGTACCGTAACATGTTTTGTTGTTCTTTTTCCCTCCAAGTGATCAGGCACGACTTAAAAGAAACCCACATATTATTTTTTTAAAATCAGGACGGGGAAAAAAGAGCTCTCGCATTTGTAGTTGTAGGCACTCTGTCAATGTTAGTACATTCATAATATGTACATGTATGTGGAGAGGCAGCGAATACTTACAGATTAAAAGAGATGTCAGACAGAGATGTACACATGTATACTTTCAACAGACCTATTCTCCCTGTATAGTGAAAACATCATGAGGCACATAGAAGAAATGCCACGTATCTCGATAGGGGGACATAACGTAAATAATCTTAAGATATATATATATGCAGACGACACCGTCCTAATAGTTGAAGAAGAAGAAGACCTACAGGATCTATTAAATGTAATCGTACAAGAGAGTGACAACATGGGCCAAAGTCGAAACAGTAATCATCAAGAAAACTGAAACAATGGTGGTAAGCAGAAAAACTCCAACCCAAACTTGCAAATTCAAAATCAATGGTACACTCAAGCAAGTACAACATTTTAAATATTTGGGGACCAATATATCATCAGGCAAATTAAATTGGACACACAATACAGAAAGAAGCATTGGAGAATATTGTAGCAACAGGCACGTTTGATCGAAAGAGAGGCAGAGGCAGACAGAGGGAAAAGATACTGGACAAGTTAACAACATGGCTGGGAACAGCAAGAACAATAGACACTATTGCTGCAACGTAGGGCAGAGAGAAGTGGAGGTTCATGATCACCCACGCCAGTCAGCAAGGCACCGGATGATGATGATGATGATGATGTGGAGAGGCAGGGGACAGGTTGCATTTGGACGGAAGGGTAAAATAAAATTTGCCATATATTCGTATTCATTCTTAATTTTTCAATAACTTATTCCGTTTGTTTTTTGGGACGGAGGGGTTGTATACATCTTTTCTTTTTCCTTTCTTTTAAAAAAAAAAAGAACGTCTTGGGCATTGGGCGGGTGAACGTTATTGTTCAAAGTAATCAGCAATGGCCGCAATTATATGAATTTTTCAAAACCCAATAAAATAAACTTTTCATATATGTTATTTTCAGACACAATGTTTTTTTCCTGGTTGATAGTATTGGTTTTTTTTTTTAATGTTCATTCAAAATGTGGAACATCTTTTATACCCCACCCTCTACATTTTGCGCAATACGATTTCATAGTTTGTCGTATAGGCAGCTTGTTGGGAGCCTTCACCAACATTGACAGACCATAGTATTAGTATTATTTATATTTACTTTTAATAAGAGTTTTACGGCACTTGCAATACAATTATGTCATATAGGCCTAAATGCCGAAGACTATAGGTGTTACTAGAGAGCAACATTTAAAAAAAAAGAGGAGAGATAAGGACGATGTATGTTAAAGAAGGAGCAAACTACACCACATCACCAGCCAACCATCCAGATGCAAAGTGTTGTCCAAGCACTCGCACTCCTGAAATGATAGTCTCTAGAATATCGTCAGTGGTGATTGGACAAACCGGGTGCGGTAATAGTGGCTGTTTCTCCAGATTTTTAATACAAATTGTTACTGTTTTATGCCAACATCAACACAAATTAGATCATCCAGTTGGTGGTTGTCAGCTTTGTGTTGCTTGCTACTTCTTTCTTATAAAACATCTAGTCGTCTGCACTTATATGACCTTATTGTGTTGCAAGTGCCATAAAACTCTTACTCTTAGAAAAAATAAAAGGCATCCATTTGTGTTGAGAGACTGCAGTTTCACACCCTTCACGATCTCTTTACCTCATCGTCTATATAATGGTCATGACTTGATGATTGCAAATTATGTTTTACGCCATCATCATAATAATTTGGGTCATTTAAGAGGCGGGCTGCTTTGATCTTGCCAGTACTGCTGAATATATATCTAGCTTAACATTATTATTGTTTATATTACTCTTCATTTATATTATTCATGTGAATGTAAGCCTGTTTGTGAGTGCAAGCATACAGCGTGTGTGTGCATGTTTGTGTGTGTGTGTGTATGTGTGTACGAGGTGAAATCCAGACCAATGTGCCAGGATCTGGACAATAAAGATGTATCTTATCTTATCTTATGGAATACAGAATCACTGCAGACTAGCTGAGATACTCGATTAAATAATTTCCGCATGCAGGACTTGAACTCAAAGTCTTTCGTCACGCGGCCATTTCACTACAGATGCCATAATTACGTTGGTGTCGCAAGAAATCCACTCGAGTCAAAATTTTGAAAATTTTCAATTTTTACACCCGCCTAAAGATGCAACTTTCAACATCACCAAAATGTAAATTAATGCAATGGCCACGGCTTACAATTTTCTTGCTTTATATGATTCCTGATAGGAACAGTGCCACAAAAATTAGTGTTTTAAAAATCTCCAGTATAAAAAGTAACAAAACGGACTTAAGTGGATTGCCTACCACACTGACGATAATACATAATATTATGGTCTCTAGAATATTGTCATGCAGGTTAAATTAGGAAAAATGCCGTAAGTGGGAAAACCTTGGAAGTAAATGGGAGATACAATGGCTAACTAATATTTCAGAAGAACTAGGCCTATACAAAATTACAGCTGAGGTGAGTTGAAAGGTCTGTTGTTTCATGACAGAAAGACAAAAATGTAACAAGATTTATGTTGAACACACATATTAATGAATTTTAACACTTATGTTCTCCGATACTCTATAGATTTAACGCCTCTTTCAACAATGCAAGAGGTAGATACTCCGAACTTATTGTCCATTTTTTATAGAGTTGAGCCAAATGGGTTGAGGGCCTTGAAAATTCCCCCAAACAACTAAAAGTTTAGAATGCCCCATTAGGGGATTTGAGCCTGGGCCATCTGCCCCTTAGTTCAGCTTCAAACCAAATGAGTAATGAGCTAACAGTACGTCCATGTTCTCTGTAATAAGCTATCAATGTGCTGTAGTAATAACGCTATCAACAGAAACAGCTCAGTTCAGTGTTACTTATTTTTACAGAAAGTATTCTTTTCCCCATGACCTTTTCTGGGCACACAAACACAGTGGCTCAACCAACAAATTCTTCGACCTTTTTGTTTTAGTAGAGGTTTTTCGGCGCACGCAACTGCATAACTCTTAGACTGTTGAAACAAAGACATACTGGATTAGTAAAGAATGCAGTGCCAGCTGTGTACATCAAACTGAAGCTATATGGTCGTAGAAGTGCTTGCAGATTATGATCGAGATACTAACACGAGACTAAAAACAAGCTCTTCGCACCATCAGTACACAATTGTCCTTTAACTTTAATTTACCCAGCTCACTCCAAAGTCCTTAAATTTGAAAACTTTATCCTGTTCACACAACAAATGCATTGAGAAAAACTATGAACCACATATTCCTGAAATGCGTTGCCAACTATTGTGCTAAAACACGTCTGCTGGGACATTTCAACTGCACGCTGAGCGCTGAGAGAAAGAGAGAGA